TTGATTATATGAGTAATTTAGGCATAGATTGTTGATATTTAAATTATTGACGATCTTTAAAGCCTACATAATAACAATATACGATTTTTTTAGTATGATAAATGATGGAACTTAGCTTTCGAATGAGTCTAAGATCATCAACTTCTCTCAATAATTGGTAGAATTACAAAATTTTTAAATTTTTGGATTCAAAATCAGTTGCAAAAGGTTTAAGAGAATCAAAGATAATTTTTTTAATACATCAATGAATGATAAAAGGTTTTATTTCAATCAATTGAATTCTGGTGAAAATAATAATCAAATGATAATGAATAATTGATTACAATGAGTAATTTAGGTGTAGATTATTGATATTTTAAATTGTTGATGATCTTTAAAGTCTACATATGTTTTTTTTAGTATGATAAATGATGGAACTTTAGCTTTTTAATGAGTCTAAGATTGTCAACTTATCTCAAGAATTGGTAGAATTGTAAATTTTTAAATTTTTCATTTGTAAAAAGTTTAATAAGATCAATTTTTTTATACATCAATGAATGATAATCATGTATAAGCATAATATATAGTCCCAGATTTTAGCAAAGAAAACAGATATTTTGTTAATAATTATGTTTAAATATTTATTTCAAGTATTATATTCAATAAATAGGATACAATTTAGTTCACATATTAAAAAAAACCTCATATTTTGTAAAAAAAAAACTCCAAATCTATATTCACTTATTGTTTGTTTATTGTTTGTTTATTGTTTGTTTATTGTTTGCTTATTGTTTGCTTAATATTTGAGGTGTATAATATTTGTAATATAATACATATTTAATACATATTAAAATATAGCTGCATTATTTACACAAAATATGCATATTAAATATGGGCATATATAATATGCACTTTAATTTATGTATTTAATATGCCAAATTAAATTATATATATATAATACATATTTTATAGCAAATATTATTTGTATATTTTTTAATGCAAATTTTAAACAAATAATAAGCAAATATTATTTGCTATAAAATATTTAGTATAGAATAATCAAACAATATACAAATAAATAAGCATACAGAATTTATTATGCTAATTACACGCTAATTATACGTAGAATATTTGGAATTGGTTTTCCTGATGTTATATTATTTTCATTTTCATTTTCATCTTCTACATCTTCTATATCATCTACATCATCATCTTTTTCATCTTCTTCCTCATCTTCTTCTTCTTCTATACCATCATCATCTTTACTTACCAGCTTAAAAAAGTCCATGATATTTGCTGTTCCTTCAGCAGCTTCACAAAGGTTTTGTTTTTGTATCTAATTGTTCTGGGAGCAGTTCCTGTATAATACCCTTGATGGTTTTTTTTTATTAGAGGTTTCACCTGCATTATTATCTTCAAAAAAATTTACATTAGCAATTTCATTATCATATTCAAGAGTTCCCAAGTCAATTATTTCATCATCATCAGATAATTCAGGTGAGGAAAGAGGTAAATCAACAATTGAGGAATTTTCTTGAGAAAAAAGAGAAAAATCAGTATTTGCTGGAATTTCTTGAGCTTCTTGTAAAGAAAGATCAAATTTAGAAGCTTTTGAATGACAGGCTTCATTGGCCTTTTGTAAGTTTGAAAGAAGTGATTTCATTTTTTTTGTCTTTTTAGGCATTTTGAGTAGTGGCAACTTTTGAAAATTATATATAAAATATTAAAAAATTATGAAATTTCAAACTCTTATAACTTTTGCTAGTTAGTACAAAATTAAAAATCTAGCTGCAATGAATTACTCCTTGACTTCTAAATAATCATTTGGTGCAATTATTTTTTTGAAATTGATCATCCCTAATGAGTAGATACCATTTTTGGTAAGTCAATAATAGTTGATGGTTTTTGCTGTCATCCACTGTGCTTTAAATAATTTTGGCTGCCGTAATCCCATAAATAAGATTGGCTATATAATTTACAATAATAATTATTAAAAACACAATTTTATTTTTATTTGTAAATTTGGCAAAATAAAAAAATTTAAATTCCTGAATCTCTTATAACATCTATATTATAATCAGGATCACCATAATCTTCTATATCTTCTAATGGTCTATTAAAATTTTCCCTTTCCTAAGGTTCATAAAAATCTGACAAATAAAAAGAGTTCTCTATTTCTAAATTAGGATTGTTGGCATTATTATCTTGCATATCATCATCACCATCATCACTATTGTTGTCATCATCAGTATCTTCAAAATCAAAAACTCACTCCCTCTCCAGAAAATAATCCATTCCCATAATCATGTAAAGCATTAATCAATTGTTCCTCTGACATTTCTTGAGTAATGTAATTTAATTCACTGTTTGCATTCATTGTGTAAAAAGAATGTAATTTAGCCATATTAGAAACCTTTTCAACATCAAGTCTATAAAGAATTAATTATTAGAAATATTATATGTATTTATATACATTGAAAAAATAAAAATAATTTTTATTGTACCTATTTCTACATTTTTGAGTGAACCAACTTAATACAGAAAATAAACATTCACAGCTTGCACTGTGAGGAACAATTGCTAAAGTATACTATGCAAGACATTGTAAATGATGATGTTGTTGTTTGCAAGAAATCCACCATGTTTTTGGACACTCTGATTCATCAGGAAATTAATTTAGCGTAAACTTGCATAAATCTTACGATGCCGACGTAATATTGTGTAAATCTTACAGTGCCGACATAAGTTTTACACTTTTTTATTATTAAACTTACAATTGACACATGTAAAATTTTTTTATATTTTCCGGATGTTCCTCTACATATGGATAATGATAAGGGAAAGTGAAAGAATCATAATTTTTTATTTGTGTGATTAAGACTTGTGCACTTTTATCTCCACCTCCCAAATTTTTCCATACTTCTAATGCTGTACGTATCACTGAATGAAAAACTACAGGAACCATCCCATTGCTACGATACTTTGGGTGCAAAAAATAACTAAGTAAATAAAATTTAACATCAAACTGTATCCATCATTTGTTATATATTTGAATACATTGTCTTTGAAAACCTTTATGTTCTGTAGAGTCACTTATTGGCAACTGTTTTATTGTAGCAGCCATTTGAATGAGGATTAAAAAAAAATCTGCCAAAGTGGAGTTTGCAGATTCTATACATTTAACAGCCTTTTTTGCAGGTGATGATACATATGTAAGGCATTCAACATTTGCCCAAAAATTCCTATCATTTACTAAGTTATACAAATTAGTTGACATACATCCTGGATCTTTTTCAATCATATTTCTAAAAATATTTTCAAGTCGTAATACAGAATTACAGCAATCCCATGCACTGCTCC